CTGGGCATCGTCTCTTTGCCAGTGATCACATGCCCAATTTCCCTTCCATGTTACCATAGAGACATTCCTTAAGGCTCTATAAGCCTAATCAATTAATTGTTGGGTATTTCTTCCCCCACCTCTCAAAGGAATGGATTTCCCTCCTATTCCTATTTGTCACTAACCTGAAAAAGGTCTGGTTCAATATCTAGTCCTAAATTCTCTCTGACAAGAGCAACAGATACCAGTCACTGACTCTTGTTCCCCAGAAATGGAAAGACCGAGGAAAAAATTGGGACTCTTATCATCATCATCATCATCAATAAAATACTTATCTACTTTGGAAAACACTAGTTCACAGATGAATCATACGACATATGTGATATATATGATATATGAAATACAATCCCTTAAAGTTTAAGAAACTTACAAACTTGTGAGGAGGGCAAGCTAAAATAGCAAGTAGCATTACACTAAGGGCCAGATATACCATTAACAACATGTTCCAAATAGTGAGATCTCTATGGAAAACATTTCACAGGGACAGGTATTAGGAAAGAGATGGTATCAATCTAATAGTTCTGGTTAGAATACATTTAACATAAGATTCAAGAAAAATCAGCAAATACTGAGTTCCTGTTAGGTGGAAGGTACCATTCAAGTAATAAATAAATAAAAGACATGATACACACCATAAAGGGATGTACAATCATATTAGAATTTGCACCTGCTTCTATGGAATGATCCCTACTGCTTGCCAACCCCCAACCTTGGTAACTCTTACTATGCCCATCTTAGACCAAACCCATTAAAAAAGCTATAATTACACCCTGTATTCCTCTTTCATAGTTCTTACCACAGTTGCAATTTTATATTACTTGTAAATTTATTTGCCTGATGTTTGTCTTGCTCAGACATTAAATGCCATGTAACTGGGATTCATGTCAGTATCTGATCACCATGAACCTAGTAGTGACCAAGCCCAGCACTTAGCACAGCACCTGCCATGTATGATGCTCAACAAAAGCAGCAAAAGAAGAGGAGGGAGGGAAGGAACTTGCCTAAAGTTCACACAACTAGTATACCACAGAGTCAGTATATTTGTTAAACAACATAAAAGATTTATATATTTCATAAGGCATGGCATAATCAGCTATTAAAAAAATAGAACAGACAATAACACCACTGTTTGGGAGAGAGATCATTTCCACTTGTTAAGGTCTGGGAAGAGTTTACAGAGGAGTTGAGGTTAGAGTTAAGCATTAAAGGACAAATAGTATTTAAATAAATGAAGAGAAATACAATTCCCTGTAGGTGGTACAGCATGAGCAAAAGTACTGTAGGAAGAAAGCACAAGGCATATTTAATGGGTAGTTAATAAACCTAGAATTAAGGGTTTTATAGATGAATAGGTTGAAAAGGTAGGATAATGGAAGGATTAAATGTCAGGCTACATAGTTTATTATTTATTCATAGGCAGCTGGGAGATATTGGAGATTTTTGAGAAAGGATGGAGTCTAATTAAAGTATTCATTATGAATATCAATCTGGCAGTAGAATCTAGAGACAGGAGACACTAAACCAGTTAAGAGACTTGCAAAAGATTGGGGGGAAAGGTAATTGTCACAGATCCTACGACAGTATAGGTATTCAATCATTACATTGAGTTGTGGAAGGCCTGGACTAAGGATGCTGAGCATAAAAATTAGAAATAGATTCAAAAGAAATTACAAAGTAGGAAATGTAAGCAAGATCTACCAAAAAAAAAAAAAAAGAGAGAGAGAGATTTAATTAGTCAGGATTTTAGCTGGAGACAGATGGCACACTCAAAGGGCTAACTGGACATGGTTTAATGAAGGGATTATTTACAAAGGTGTGGCCTGGGTTAATAAACCAAAAAAGGAATAGTGAAGCATCCAGGGACTCACAACAGTAGGAAGCCTTTCCTGTTTTAAACCTAAAGGGACAGTTATTGGAAGAGTGAGAGCTGTAGCCAAGGGAGAGGGCTATAGCTGCAGTGGAAGCCATGGCCTTAGGTAGAGAACTCAGCCACTAACAAAGATCTGCTAGTGCCTCCCACTGATTGACCTGTCCTAATAGGAAGCCAGAGCGCAAGGAAGCCTATGTGATGTTGCCCACAGAGGTCAACCACGTAGAGCAGACAGGGCAGAAGGATGGAGAGTGGATCTGAAAAGGTAATGAGAGCATATACAGCAGTGACCAAGGTCAAGGTCCTGGCTAAGGATGCCAGGGATGAGCTATCCATGTCTGTTCTTTCCCTAGCCATTTATTCTAAATGAATGGAAGCCTAGAGGCAGACAGTGAAAGGTGGAATTAGGAAGTGCCAATGAACAGTTAAGCATATGAAAAAATGTAGCTTTTTCAGGGAGAGTTAAGAAAATAGAATTCTGCCGAAACCGGTTTGGCTCAGTGGATAGAGCGTCGGCTTGTGGACTGAAAGGTCCCAGGTTCGATTCCGGTCAAGGGCATATACCTGGGTTGCGGGCACATCCCCAGTAGGAGATGTGCAGGAGGCAGTTGATCGATGTTTCTCTCTCATCGATGTTTCTAACTATCTCTCTCCCTTCCTCTCTGTAAAAAATCAATAAAATATATTTAAAAAAAGTATTAAAAAAAAATAGAATTCTAAGCCCAATGCAAAAAGCTCAATATGGGGTCCTTAGCCTCTGTGAATGTCTCTTTCCTAGGAATAGTAATGAAAATCAAGCTGCCCTGTCCAATTTATTTAATTGGATTCCAGTCTCTTCTTCATTCCCACTACTATTTACAACTCACATCTTTAGATTTCAGTGATCCCAAATTTAGTTTCTTTTGATTAGTTGTTTCCTTATCTGCCCAAATTAGGTGTCTCCCAACTCTTTATTAAGTCAGCTCTATAGAGACAAATTGGCGGGGGCCTTTCTACCATACCACCTAACCAACCCAGCCAGTGGAACCCTTACTTATTTAACCCTCAGACATCTACTTTCCACATCCTCTACTTTCTGGGACTAAGTCTCATTTTTCTGGCAGAGAAAATGAATAAATCAGAGATAGAGTCACAGAGAAACTATAAAAAAGATTCAGATAAGAGATCAATGAGAGGAGGCAGAGAAGAAAATCAGAATTCATCAACATTTTATTTGCAGGTTAGCTACATATTGATTATGAATAGTCTGGGCAAAAAAAAAAAAAAAAGTCTGGGCCAGACCGACCTGCTTTTGAATCCCTGCTCTGTCACCAGCTCATTATGTGACTTAGGGATATTACTTAATATCCATAAGCCTTAATTTCTTCATTTGTAAAGGCCAAAATATCTTTCATACATTTTAAGTAATTAGCACAATGCCTGGCACATTGCAAATAATTCCTCAACAAAGCTGGCTATTAGAAATCATCATCAGCATTATTATTGTTTAAATGGTGATGTGCTGTCCTCATATATATATGGCTATTATAATGCAAAAAATGGTTAAAAGTAATTATCAACATAGGGCATATAATTACACAAAGGCACATACTAGTAAAAGGGCAGAGAAATAAGAATATGAATATGGAATGTAAGAGTAACATGGTTCTTCCAAAGTATAAATTGATGGATAAATGGAGGGTACTCCTGGGAGCTGCATGTTCAGACTGGATAGAATCTTCTATTCTCCTTACCCTGGTTTAGAAAACTTGCCCTAGGAAATAGGATGCCTGTAAAATCAAGTAAATCAGTATTCACTGAACATTGACCATATGCCTGAGACAGCAATGATTAATTGAAAAATTAAGGATAAGATATAATTTCTAACCTCAAAACCCCTACAATCTCATTGATAGGGTTATGAATACAATCTAAAGTAAATTATGAAATTCTACAATACCGACTATAAGTGGAGTAAGTGCCTCCAGAAAGGAAACAGCTACAGGATTAAAGTCCTTAGTGAGAAATTCACAGAAGTAGGGTTGAAGTGGGTGGGTGAAGGGGGCAGGACTGGAGCTAGGTAAAGGATATTTCGGAGAAAAGGACTGGGAGTTGGGAGCACCTCGAGGATGCCACTCTAGAAGAATTTTGGTAATAGGAACGTGTGTCAGATGCTGAGGGACAGAAAAGGACAAAATAACCTCAAAGAACTCAAGGTGCCCCGATGGAAAACTAGGAAAGCGAAACACAAAAAATCAGTTATCACGAAGCAATGTGACAAATACAATGAAGGACGGTCATTCCAACGTGGAGTTCTGGAGCATTGGGACAGGACAGCAGGCACCGGACAAGGCTTTCATGTAGCAGCGCAGGACCTTCTGTGCAATGATTTTCTAGAGCTTAGCGCCCCCTGCCCTTGTCCATCTACCCTCAGCTAACGGAGGGGCCTGCCCTTTGAACAGTATCACCCGGCGGAGAGCCAGGATACGCCTTTAGGCGCCAACACTGGAGCCGAGGTCTGAAGGATGGAGTAGGGACGGGGAGGGGAAGGCAATCTTGGCGGAAAGAAGAGCAAATACAGTGGCGGGTAAGAGCCTGACAGTTTAGGAAGGACGAGGACTCCCCGTCCTTCCCATCCCTCCGCCTAGGGCTGCCTAAGTTCGGATTTAGATAAAAAAAACAACTGGTAACTTCAAAATACTTATAAGTATGTCCAAATACTGCGTGGGACGCACGCTCCAGACTCCCTTCACCTCCTCCTAGACCTAGCCGTCCCGGGGCTCACCAACCCCTGGGATCCGCGAGCGGGCGGAGGAAAGCACGAGGAACTAGCACAGGTTTAACTCTCCCTCACTCCATCTTTCACGCTCTGGTTTCCGCCCAGGCCCGAGGAATTTAGCTCGCAGCTCGCTCCGCTTCGGTGGTCTGGCTCCGCCGACTGAAGTTAGTGCGGGAAGAGAGAAGGGCTCTCTCACACAAGAAACACCAACTCCGCTCGGCCAGAGGACAGTCCCGCAAGCGCACAGACCGGCAAGCAAGCGGAAGTCGCCTTTCCCCGGGACCAGAAGTCCCGCCCCTTCCGGAGGAGGGCCTAAAAGCAAGACAGCCAATCCAAAGGAAGGAAATACTCCGGCTGAGGCGACTGGGAATTGGGCCTGGGGCTCGCGACCGGAAGCAGCCTGGGGGCGGGCCTCACGCTGGAAGTGCTCGCCGCCAGGCTGGTTCCACCGCTTAGGTGGTGGGAGATGCGCGGGCGGCCGCAGGCGAGGAGCCGGGTCGCTGGTCCGCAGTCCGGAGGCAGGTCGGCTGTGGGGCGGAGCGGCTGCCCCGCCGTCAGACCATGGCCCCGACCCAGCCGTGGGGAGAGCGGCTCCTCAGCCTGCGGGTGACCCCCGCTGGGGTGTTCGGCGTGGCCTTCCTCGCCCGAGTCGCCCTGGTTTTCTACGGGGTCTTCCAGGACCGCACGCTGCTCGTGAGGTACACGGACATCGACTACCAGGTCTTCACGGACGCCGCGCGCTTCGTCACCGAGGGGCGCTCCCCGTACCTGCGGGCGACCTACCGCTACACTCCCCTGCTCGGGTGGCTCCTCACCCCCAACATCTACCTCAGCGAACTCTTCGGGAAGTTTCTCTTCATCAGCTGCGACCTGCTCACGGCTTTCCTCCTATACCGCCTGCTGCTGCTCAGGGGGCTGGGGCGCCGCCAGGCGTGCGGCTACTGCGCCTTTTGGCTGCTTAACCCGCTCCCCATGGCGGTGTCCAGCCGGGGCAACGCGGACTCGATCGTCGCCTCGCTGGTGCTGACGACGCTGTACCTGCTGGAGAAAGGGCGCGTCGCGGCGGCCGCGGTGGCCTATGGGTTCGCCGTGCACGTGAAGATCTACCCCGTGACCTACATCCTTCCCATAATCCTCCACCTGCCCCCAGAGCAGGGCCGCGACCCGAGCCCCCGCGCCTCCCGGCGTTCCCTCCAGGCCGGTTGGCGCGCCTTCCTGACGCGGCTGTGGGATCGGGCTGTGCTGCTCTTCGCAGCGGTGGCCGGGCTCACCTTCGCCGCCCTGAGTGTCGGTTTTTACTGTAAATACGGCTGGGACTTCCTGGAGCACACCTACCTCTACCACCTGACCCGGCGGGACATCCGCCACAACTTCTCCCCGTACTTCTACCTGCTGTACCTGACCGCCGAGAGCGCGGGCGGCCTTGCCCTGGGCCTGGCGGCCTTCCTGCCCCAGGCCGTCCTGCTGGCGGTGGTGTCTTTCGCCTACCACAGGGACCTTGCCTTCTGCTGCTTTCTTCACACGGCCATTTTTGTGACGTTTAACAAAGTCTGCACCTCGCAGTACTTCCTGTGGTACCTCTGCCTGCTGCCCCTGGTGATGCCGCTGGTGCGAATGCCCTGGAGAAGGGCGGTGGTGCTCCTGGTGCTGTGGTTCGCGGGGCAGGCCCTGTGGCTGGCACCGGCCTATGTGCTTGAGTTTCAAGGAAAGAACACCTTTTTGTTTATCTGGTTAGCTGGCTTGTTCTTCCTTCTTATCAACTGTTGCATCCTCATTCAGATCATTTCCCATTACAAGGAGGAACCGCTGGCGGAGAGACGCAAACATGACTAGTGTATGCTCCGGTTCGTCTGCCACTTCCATCTCTTACGTGCTGGTGGTTCTGAATGGACCAGAAGAGAGCTTTGGACAAATGTTGAGCATCCTAAGCACGCCCGTGAAAGTTCGGTTTGGAGCCTAATATCTGTTCCAACGAATTAAGATAAATGTTTACTTATGTATAAAGGGGACTCAGAAATTGGGGCCCACCTTTAGGAAATGGAAGGGCTGTTTGAAAATGGAAGGGCTGATTAAACTTTCGGATGTTAAAAGGTTTTTTGTGGTTTTTTTTAGAAAAATACAGGAATGTGGTCAGACACATAAGGTCTAAGCCAGTATTTGTTCCAGTTATACTATGCTACTGCCAGAAGCAGTCTTATCTTTTAACGCTCACTTTTTCCATCTAAAGCTCTCACGATAGCTGTGAAAACTCACAAAGTTTTCCTAACGTACAGATTTTAGATATGAATTGTTAAGTACCAGTACTGTGTTTCGGTTGGCAAAGTTAATTCTGTATTAATGGGGGCTTAGAAGATAAAGAATTCAAAGAATTTAAATTATAATCATGTTTCATGTACAGGTATTTCTTTTATAGCTTAGTTTTTCAACACTTAGTCCCAGTGGTATTAGATTACCTTTTGGTTTTATACCAAAGGGATTACATTTAAATTCATCCATTTTTAAATTTGAATTGTTACAGATCTTAAAATAGCATTTTGCTTTTGATGTTTGAGGTCTATAAACTTAGGACATTTGACCCTTTGTTTTTAATTTTCTGATACTAAAAATATTTTTCATTTAGAATTTCAGTGTTTATATCGTAAAAATGAACGTTGGTAGATTTTAGGTGATTAAAAAACAGATTGTTAGCAAGACATTTCCCAGCTTAAAAGTACCCCAATTATGAAAATTCCATAATAGAAATAGAGACCTGCACGAGAGGCTCCTGGAAAGTGTAAGAAGCATCCTAAGTGTCCATTAGTCTCAGACCAGGAAATTGAGGGACAGATAGTGGAAATGAGGATTTGCAGATCAGTTTCCCTTATTACTACAGTATTTCTGGGGTAAAAATGCTTTCTGAGTTTCAACCAATCACCCTTAAAACGGTTTTTTTTTTGTTTTTTTTTTTAACATAGCCCATTAGGTTGGGGATTCCCTAACACTAACTTGCAATGGTAATATATGAGTTTGATTTTTTGATTGTGATTTCAAAAGATGAGTATTTTAACAACATTGTTCTTTCACAGTAGACAACAATAAACAAAATCCCTCCAGAGTAGTATATTGTATGTCAGGCCATGCCTAAAAATGCCTCTGAGAACAAGATGTCTATAGGCTATCGTAACTAAGAATGCTATTACTAGCAGTGTTTTGATGGATATCTTTTGAGACCTGCTATTAGAAAAAAGGAAAGAATGTTGGCTTTGCATGGGTTGCTGTTTTTGTGAAAATAACAGACAACTGAGGACTGTGACTTTCTTATATCCCATGTTAGGTATTATCTTGTAGTCTCTTAGTATATGACTGCTCGCTAGTGACCTTGCAGCCATGTCATTTAACTTCATTTTTTCATTCTTTTATAATAGTAATTAAAATGTTTTTGGTAGAACTGGCAGGGAAAGGGGTGGGTAACAGAAGTTTAACATCCTAATATAATTATCTTTTTGGTATTCCAACCTTTTTAAAAATAGTCATATTTACTTATTAATTTTCTTCAACATTTTTATTGTGGCTTACTCTTCATAACTACATTGAAATTACAAGGCAGTTAACCTTGTAAATGCATCATTCTTACACTATGAGACCTTTAAGATTACTTTGAATATTCTAAATAAGACTAAACATTTTTCATGTTTTAGATCATTCCCTTAACATTCTTAGAAGTCAGTTGAGTTCTGTTGGGGTCTTTGAAGGGAACTTCAATTCCAGGTCCTGCCCTGCAAGAAATTCTCTACCAAAGAACTATAGGCATCTCTCTTTTTAAAAAAATATATTTTATTGATTTTTCACAGAGAGGAAGGGAGAGGGATAGAGAGTTAGAAACATCGATGAGAGAGAAACATCAATCAGCTGCCTCCTGCACACGCCCCACTGGGGATGTGCCTGCAACCAAGGTACATGCCCTTGACCGGAATCGAACCTGGGACCCTTCAGTCTGCAAGCCGACACTCTATCCATTGAGCCAAACCAGCTAGGGCTAGGCATTTCTTAAAAGGTGCAAAGAGTACCCGGCCGGCATGGTTCAGTGGTTGAGCCTTGACCTATGAACCAAGAGGTCATAGTTCGATTCCTGGTCATGGCACATGCCTGGGTTGCAGGCTGCATCCCCAGTGTGGGGTGTGCAGGAGGCATTCAAATGACTCTGTCATCATTGATGTTTCTATCTCTCCCATCCTCTCTGAAATCAATACAAATATTTAAAAAAGAAACAAAACTTTTTGAGTCTAGAGTTAAACCTTTCCCCTCAATCTAATGGATATAGGAAAAGAACCTAGATTTGTACTAAATAATTGTTTTAACTACCTGTTACTATTAACTTTATTCCTTCTGATCTCGATCTGGTTCTTTGAAATGGTGGTAGTTATACATGAAGATGTCTGTAAAGATTCTCAGATGTCTGGTTCCGTCTTGACAATTTCGTATTTGTGTAATCCTGCCATAAATTAGCTGACTCTAATGAGTGGAGGTTTGGCTCATGCCCACAGATTACACAGCATTTCTTTTCTCCATTGTGTTGAGGGGTCATCCAGGGATTGATGGAAGCACATGTCTTCTGCCTGGATCAGAATCATCAGAGTAGCACAAGCATTTATTCAGCACTGACCCAGGAGAACCATTGATTTAGTCAAAACAAGCATTCATATTCATTATTCTGAACAAAAACCACACTAAATGGGAATGTTTCTAGCTGCTCAGACACTTTGCTAACTATATCTGCTATATAAAACAAAATGACACTTATAGCAACTATTTAAAAATAAGAGTATGAATATTTGAAGCTCAGTTCATTTCACAAAGGAAATTTTCAACCTTCTCGGTTGTCCATTCTTGTAGCAATTATTTATAGATTTAGGCCCTGTGCTGAGTCTTGTAATAGATGAGTAAGATAACGTCCATGCTCTTGATGAATTAACACTAAAGGCTAACATACCTTATTAATAAAATGTTATACCTTAGCTGGTTTGGCTCAGTGGATAGTGTTGGCCTGCGAACTGAAGGGTCCCAGTTCGATTCCAATCAAGGGCACATGCCTGGGTTGTGGGCTCGACCCTCAGTAGGGGGTGTGCAGGGGGCAGCCGATCAATGATTCTCATCAATGTTTCTATCTCTCCCTCTCCCTATCTTAAATCAATAAAAATATATTAAAATAAATAAAATGCTATATGAGACCCTATTCCACAATAGTAATGTGATTTGTAAAATGGCAAAGTAGAGAATAATACTCTTACTAGTTTACAGGTTAGAAAATTGAGGCTCATAAACAAATGGCTTTCCAAGGGCAAATACCTTGTAAATGGCAAGACTAATCTAACAATTCTGTATTTTGCAAGTCCTTAATTCCATATGATGACAGGTGATTACAATGAAAAACATTTACCAAATGTTACTTAGGAAACTACCTAGCAAAAGGCTGTATCTTCTATGTGCCAGGCATTGTTCTAGGTATTTTGGATACAGCTGTGAGGCACTCTCCCTTCATGGAGCTTACGGTTTTATGGGACACAAAGGATGAGCAAATACATGATTGTGATGATTGTCATAAAGGAAAACTAAGGCAAGCGAAGGAAGTAGAAAGCGATGGCAGGAGAGGAGTGGATGCTGTTTTAGATAAAGTGCTTCGGGAAGGCATCGTGAGGTGGCATTTGAGCAGAGACCGAACAGAAGTGAAGACATGATATTCATGTAGCTATCTGGGGGAAAGAGTATACCTCGATGAGTGAAAAACAGTGTAAAGGCACTGAGAGAGGAATGAGCTTGGCATGTTTAAAATACAGCAAGGCCAAGCTGGCATGGCTCCGTGGTTGAGTGCCGACCTCTGAACCAGGAGGTCAGGGTTCAATTCCCGGTCAGGGCACATTGCCCAGCATTGCAGGCTCGGTCCCCATTCTGGGGTGTGCGGGAGGCAGCCAATCAGTGATTCTCTCTCATCATTGATGTTTCTATCGCTCTCTCCCTCTCCCTTCCTCTCTGAAGTCAAGAGAAATATATTTAAAAAAATAAAATACAGCAAGAAGGTGAGTATAATGAGTTGGAGTGAGCAAGGAACGAAGAGGATGTAATTCACAGCATACAGTAGGACAACATGAATGCTAGTTGAAAAATACATTTTACACTAGCATTTTTACCACCCTGTAGCAATAACTTTGGGCTCAACCTATTTCCCCCCCTGACTGAGCACAGATTAATTTGTAAGAAAGATGAAACATAGAAACAACTTATATTTGAGCAGTGCTACAAAATACTTTCACACATTATTTTGAGACGTGAGGATTTTTTTTTTAAATTCTGGTTTTATAAATGAGAATCCTAAGTCTCAGATTATATGCATTTTGCCCACAGTCAGAGTTAGTACACGAGACAGGGCCAGAATCCAGATCTTCCAGAGCCAGATTTACTACTGTTTCTGTTCTGCCCTTGTCATTTAGATATGGTGAGAAAAGGACACCATGGGCCCTAGAAGGCAAGACATTCAGGAAAAAGTTGTTCACCAGATCATTCATTTAGCAAACATTAAGAGCCTGCTTGGTGCCAGGCACTAAGTTAAGCTGGGAGTATGATGATCATGATAACAGTCCTGGCTCTGAGAAACTCACGGTATCTAATAGAGGACACAGGTGGAAAGCTGATGATGCTGTGACAATGGCTAGAGTCAAATATATGAAGTAGTTGGGAGCACTTCACTAATGCATCAACTGGACAAGGCTAGCACAGAAGTTGGTACACACTAGTGTTAATTACACAAGGAGGCCATTAGACTGACGTGGTTCTAAGGCCTCAGCAGCCTCCGCAAGCAAACCCAAGCCTGTAAATGCCTCAAGGTTAAGAGATTGAAACCTAAGGACAATGAATCACCAACAGCCAAGCTGGCTTTCCCAAATGATGCAACAGCACGTTGGTGGTATAGTGGTGAGCATTCCAAATAATGCAACAGCCTGACTACAGCCAATCAACAATGCCCTGGCTTTGCTTCTGCCTCTTCTCTAGAGAAGTCTTGGTTCTAGCTCCTGTGGGGGGCGCACTTCTAGCCCCTTCCAGTTTGACTTGCTCAGTT